ATTATATAATTCAAAATGAAAATGCATAATCTAATTAATATGTGAATATATTATAAAATGTATAATCTAAATTTTATAAAATTATAATAATTATATAGTTCAAAATMAAAATATATAAATGTTACTACTTTTGATCAAATTTGGTCACATGTCTAAATTGAATAAACTGATAATTGTATGTAGGTATAAAATTAAAATGTATATAAGTAATTACTTTTGATAATATTTGGACACGTATTTTAAATAAGTGAACTTAGGAACTTTCTAATTAGACCATACGTTTTAAAATACATATACAATGGGGAAGGGGGGGATGAAAAGTGTCCGGCAGAATCGATGCGTAGATATTATAAACAGTAGCCGGCGGAGTTGATATAAAATCGGCGGAATCGATATACGCCCAACCGGACCACCGCGAAAACTTCCGGTTCAATCCGTACCTGTACCTTACTACCCTATAGGGTGACAATTTTTATAAAAAACAAAAAACGGGACAAACGGTTTTAGGTAAATACTCTTAAAAAAAAAACTAATTTAAATAAAACACGTCTTATTTGGATTAGTTTTTGTTGTGAGCTGAGAAAGATTGGTCAAATAAGTGTATTCTTACTCTATTTGAATTGATATTGATTACTCATCATCATTATCTAAATTATTATTCATCAGTTCATCACAATCTACACTCGTTCCACAAAAACTGTTATATACTAAATAACTTTCAAACTTCAAAACTTTTGTGTTTATTTCTTTGATTCATTTTTTTTTTACACATAACAATATGGATATAACGGGATTAAAACGGGATCATCTTCTAAAAACGGGACAAAATGCGTCCCGTTTGAAGTTTGTTGGGACAACAGGACATGCGATGATGATCAAAAACGGGACGTATGGTTACCCTACTGTACCCAATCACCAGCTAAATATGACAGCTGTCATACATATTATTAGTATATTACATAAATATGGATTTTTGCATCACTAGCGTACGAACAAAAAGCATTCTGGCACATTATTTGTTGACGACGATTTGACCAAAATTTTGAGTTCCTGATTAGGTTAATATAAGAGCATAAACTATTATAGAGATACTATAATTTAATATAGATATAATACCATAGGTACGCGGCGTATTATACCAGTGTAATTATTCAATGAATACTTCAATACCTGCAGTCTTAATAAAATGTAAGAAATACATCTTTGACGTTGACGTATGTTATAATACATTATAATTAATTATTTTATATAGCGATTATTTATTTTTATACAGACATTTTTTATATAGGATTACATAACAACTATTGTGAATGTCTTTAAAACCTATACTACAGTATAAAATATTTATTGTGAGAAATCATGTGTTTTTTTTTTTTTTTTGAAGGTAAAAAGTTCACAATCACGTTTCGCTCTATTGTCATAGCTATGCAGGTACTTGTTATTTATTCGGATGGTCCATAATAATATTATGAAATTGTTACAAATTAGGTATTCAAAAATCAGATTATTTACCTATATCGTAATAATAATGATCATTTATTCCTAGGTATTGCAATTTATAATACGATGTTTTATGTGTATTGTGCTAAGGTAATAGGTTTATATTACAGCTTTCACTTCCTGATAATTTAAAAAAAAAAAAACATGAAAATAATATGTATTCTAATTTTACATTTTGTTTGATAATTGTGCACGACAGTTTAAAAACTGAACTCACTTTTAAATGAGCACAATATCTGGTAATATACTAATATCGTCCTCACAAACCTTGTCAAATATGTCATTTGTTTTCGGAATTTGTTTAATCTTCACCGTAAGTGTAATTTTTATATACTTTTTCGCATCTGTATAGGTATGTCTTATATGACTATAGCATTAACGCCATTAACGTAATTGCAAGTTACTATGAGCTTTCAAATATTACTACCTATACACGGCTATAATACCTACTATAGCCATAACTCCCATAACTATTGTCATTATTATTTATTAGTTATTACTATCTATACAGTGGTCGTGGCTATAATAAAGCAAAGTGTGGGGGGGGGGAAATCCTCGTGGCCCCAGAGCTCCACGAATTGCCCCGCAAAGTTACGCGTAGGTACCTATATTATGAATTTACATAAGGTTAGTTTGGGGTCCTAGTTTATACTTATGGTCCGTTCGAATAATAAGTAAAACTAGCACGAAGGGCTAGTAAGTAAAAAAAAAAAAAATGTAATTTATTTTTAATTACGTAAGCTTAAAAAAAAAATTAAACTTAACAAATTATAAAAAAATTGCACAGTCTTGAATTTAGATATTCTTAATTTTATGGTTTCAATATTATAATATTTTTGTATTCATATTTCATATATTTCTATTTATCAATTCTTAAGTCGCAAACTATAAGTTATATGCTATATATTGTGTAAGCTAAAACACACGATTTCCTAAATGGTCATAATATATTATAATAATTAAAATGACTTCTAGGTATTAACCAACGGTTTTATATTTTTATTTATGTTTAATTTTTAATATTTCTTTTTGAATGACCCATATGTGAACGTGAACAAGTGTAATTAATAATTATTATATTAAGTGTTGAAAATAATTGACAAATACGAGGTCTGGTACTTATGAATTTTAGGTTAATATTATAATTTGTAACAATATTATAATGTTGTATAAATTAACAAATTCTTAATAAAAATACCGAGATCATATTTAGGTATACATTATAGCACCAAGCATTATAGTATATTATAATAATATAATATRTTCACAGGGATTGACGTACGCAGAAGTCCGCATAACAAATTACCAAGAATTGATGGATGAAAGCTTTAATGGTTTTTTAACTTGCTCGTCACAACTAGGTCTAAATATTGGTAATTTTTATAACAATATTATTAAAATTTCCAGCTTATACATTTTATGTTAATCATTAGAAGAGGTATACTTATTCGTATGTTTTATTAATTGTATACTAATAAAGTAATAACTGTATGTATATATATGTAGAAACGTGTAGCGATTTGTTGGATCCAAATTTAAATAGTACTGATGTCAAATACGACGGTTGTAAAGTAAGTACCTACCTACCTACATATAAATATATTGTAGGTAATTTTAKCCAAAATGTAAAATCAAATCGCAAAATCACGCATAACTAAATATTAATATAAATATAGGTAATGATTTTATTTCATAAAAAATAACTATAGTAATTGGTCATTTCATAGTTTAGTTTATTTATTCCAGTTTATACCTATATTCTAAAATTTTGAACAATAAAAACATCGCATAAGGGTAAATCATTATTATAATATATGTATACCTACCTGCGTTCGAATACCTATCTTATGTCACAAAATTTAAATTTCAATCATGTGTTCAAGTTCAACTTATGTATTTAATATTTATACTATACTATACTGTCCGTGTATGTCACACACTTAACCTTAGGTAACAAATGTCTACTATATTATACTAAGAACGCAGAATACTCTGACTTTTTATGAATTCATTTTTTCTGTTTATTTTGGCTAGCATCATTGGACATCTTTTACTTACGATCAGATTCACTACCAGAAACCTCCCTCAAAATTAATGATTAAATTAGAATCATTATACTGCATTATTGCTCCCGAAGATAACACTACCTGACACTCAAAATAAAACCACATTATTGTAAATCAATACCATTCATTGCTCCGCTTAAGATCTTCAATTTAATTTTGAACGTATTACTAATCAGAAATAAGTGTTAATATTTTTAATGAGTGAAGRTTTGGAAGTTAATGCCATCTATMTCCACTCATCAAAATTTTAAATAACATAGGTACTTACTTATAAATTATAACTATATGTAATAATTAACTACTCTTAGTTTTRTATTCGATAGTTATACACATCAAAATTTTCAGAAACATATTCTGCTTGAAAATATGAAAATAAAAATGTTTATTTGTCAATCAAAAAAGTGAATTAAAACGGTTGCAACAATAAAAAAAATATTATAATATATATTATATATTCTAATGATCTCAAATTATGTGAAATAAGCTTTTTTAGAAATCTATCATACTTTCTATGATAGGTAATTCAATTTCTGTAAACAAGATTAACTATATCAAATACTTAAAATGTTCAGTTACCTAGATAGTAGTAAAAACTATAGATAACTAATAAGTGGAGTCATAATCATAGGTAGATAATGCATAAGTATAGGTACCTACAAAAAATTTAAACGGGAATGTTTAAAACTTTAAAATGATGTMGTAGAATATCTGTGATGAGAACAATGATAGATATTGAATGTGTCATTGTTATTATTTTTGCAAAACCTTATGATAATGGTTTATATATAGGTACTTAGTACTTACTAATAAAACATATTAATTTTTTTTTTCAGTGTATTTTACCATGCATATCTAAAAAATTGGGAATTGTAAGTAACCCGAATTTATCTATAATATACGATTTATATCACAATAAAAACACTCCATGTAAAAAAAAGGCTAAGTTAAAAAAAAAAACAAACAAATCTTTAAGCACTAAAAGAATGTGATATCATAAATAAATGTAAAGTAAACTCTTAATTAAAGTACACTTTTTTTTTTCTAGAATTTATTTACTTGGTGAAAAATTTATATGACACGAAATAAACGAAAAGCAATAGAAGTTCATTTTAATCTAAAATATCATAAAAGACATTTCTACTCAAAATAATTTCTTGCCAAGTAAATAAGTTATTGAAACAAAATAAGAGTACTTAATTTCAATTTACTTAGCATTCATTTATTATATCACACATTTAAAATGCTTTTTTGTTACTTGGCATTTTTTATACGAATTGTTATTGTTGTGATATTACCATTTTTTTATTCAATATCTGTACACTTTAGTTGGTATATTAATTTATAGTTATATAATGCCAATACATATTATATTATCGTACGCGAGGTGCAAACACAGTACCTACCTAATAATAACTATCAACATAAATAACAAGCTATTACGCTAATATACTAGTAATAATTACTAATTACAATTAAAAAAATTATTTGATTTATCGTAAAATAGCAATAATGATGAAGTGTGTCGAAATTTTATCTCACCTAAGCCACCAAACTCCAAAGTCTTTGTAGGTACTGCGTATATGAAATGGAGTGGAGGAACCGATCGGCAAGAGACGCGGCCGCCGTGATTCCAGATTTCATTATAATTTCTCATTAAAAAGTTTGCAGGTTTCCTTTATGATAACTCAATTTCTAACTAAATGAATAYGATGATTTTTGCAAAAGGATCATTTGCACAATTTTTTTGATTTTTCCAATTTATTAGGTATTAATTGATTCAGTAGATAGTTAGTTAGGTCCGCTTAAAGAAAACACCGAAATGTACACTATTTTAATGAACAACTAGTGGCATGGTGAGGCGCACTGAACGTACGTATCGGCCRCAGTTGCTAGTTCCCGGATGGGTAACCACTAGGGATTTTTAGCAACATATCTTTAACACACGTACACAAATACGTGTTACAATTCTATAAACTTAAAAACCTACAAACAAAAATATACAAAAATAACCCCCACCGTACCACCCCACAACCAATATCCTATGTTRCCACGGGTCCCCCTTAAGAAAAAAAAAATGGACAACTTTTACTTCGAGATCATATAATAAACTATCGAGGGACCGCTAACTTTTTTTTTACTTAGCTGGAGCTGGAAATTGGAATATTATATGTTAGTATATGAGGTAATGATTAMTATGTCTATGAGTATATTTTGYCCTATCTATAGATGAATACAGACGACGGAAAGTGGAATGAAAAACGATATTGGGAAATTATCGAAATGATCAAAGTACTCGAGTGGAAGCAAGAGGCAGAAGTGATTGGAAATAATTGCAAAGACAGTATGGCATTTTATTTTTTAGTTTTTGACATTTTATGATATTTTAATATTAATTTTATGGCTTTATATAAAAATGCATTTAAAAGTAAATTACGATAGTTACTGTAAAATACCTATAATTTCAATAAATTTGATTGTATTTTATTTAGAACCCGATAAGATTGTATCGTATCTTAATACAACATAATAGCCAATATTAGGTACAATAYTAACGAAGTATATCAATAAATTATTCAAACAACACATCTCTTAAGCATTGATGTAGGCAAGGGTGATGTGTGGGAGGTCAAACCCCTGTAAGCTATCACAAGAAAATTTAAACTATACCATGAAAAATTACAATTAAAATGTTTAACCTATATTTCTACAACCCTGGATATAAAAAAATAAATAATTCCTGTAGAAATAATTAGAATAATTTTTGGATCATAGGTACCAAGTTTCTTTACATAATAGTTAGCAATCATAAATTCCGAATGAGGTATGTGTGGGAAGGGGTAGTAATTAAATACTGTTTTTTTATTAAAAGCTAAAAATGAATAAAATCATTCATTCTTTTTTTTTGTGTTAATGAAAATATTTACCTAGCTTTATTATAGCCTATACTTAACATATATTATATCATGTATCTCACATACCTATAATATAGAATACCTATTATTGGTATTATGGTGGCAATATAGTCACAAATTTTATATTTCTAGTACAACGATATATTATAATATTATAGAGTCTATATTATGTACTATATATCATCGTTCCTCAACTTGGAATCGCGTCGTGTGTCAGTCAGAAATAATTAATTGCTTGTATACGAAAAAAATCTTTGATCTATATTTTTTAAGTTTTAAATTTATTGTTGTTTAACTTTGTATGTGATTTAAACTAGCAAAACGCACCTGATACTAATTTTATATCGTTCTAAAATTCAAACCACTTTAAAGTAATTATATTATTCTTTAAACATATATAGGTAGTAAATAATAATGTTACAATAATAAGATAATTCGTACCTAAATTTCAATACTTTTTAATTTTTATGCGATTGCCCACCAAAATACCACTCTCGATATTATTATTTGGTCCGTGGTAAATGGTAATGAATGTGTTTTAAAGTTTCAAAAATGTAATATAGTATGAACCAGTTGTTAACAAATTTTAGTGATATTTAATAATATGTTTTAGGCGTGAATACCCATTGTTCAGCTGGTTATCCTTTATTCCAGTGTGCATTAAAACACTCTAAAATGGTAATGATCCTTTGATTATTTTATAAAATAAATAATTTAATTTTATAATTAAAAATTATGTARCAGCAAGAGTGTTTAAATATTTTATGAAATATAAACATTTACTTACAAGTAAAAATTTTAATTTATTGAAATAATTAAAAACTTTAAATATTAAATTACATTTTGTGTTTGCTTGAATATAGCTTCAAGATATGGCAAAGACTCATATGATTCAAAAACAAGCAATTATCGAAGCTATGAACAGCACAAATGCCGAATATGAAGATGACGACAATCAAAAATAATCAACCTACAACAAAAGAACGATAATCGGGTCGCATAAAATGAATTTTTTGTGTACACTGTACCTATTTATTATTACTCTAGACGGTGCACATAGGTATTATACACAAATACAAGCACATTATTTATCATAAATTTATTCAGTAAATAATCATTGTCCTATTTCTGTAGTAATAATGTCTTTTGATTAATTATACAAATATATGATTAAAATGAAACGAAGACATGGAGTGATATTATAATACATATATTATGAATCGTAAATCATAGTGTACATAATATTATGTAGTATATAATAAATATAAACATAAAACATACGAAAAACACATAAATAATATTTTTATTATGGACAGGGCTTCGAACTCTTCGTGACATCATAAATTAAAACAAAAGTCTTACTGTTTCTACTAAACTTTTTGGTAACTCGGTAAAGTTTTTGACGTTAACATATTATTAATATTAATAATAATATCTACAGATCTGTATATTAAAAAAATAAAAATAGTATGCGGGTATAATATATAATAAGTATGCGGTTTATGTTTATCGACCATTTTGGAGTCAAAAACATTAGTGTGTGGTTTTTAAATCCAACTGTGATGAATAACGGCACGCTGGTAGCTGATATGAATTAAAAAAACAAAAMAAAATAGTGACCGTTAAAAGTTAATTAATTTACCATATTTTTATATCAATATACAGTTCAAATATTATTTATTAAACAAATTCTAGTTCGTAAATATAAAAACGTCATTCAAAATCAATGGTGCTATCATTAGACCGGATATACGTTAATTGGTCGAGGTCATTTGGTAGCGGTCATTAGGACGCACGACAATATTTATTAGTTGCGTACGACTTCTCGTCGCGTGCAATTTCGAAACATGTTCAATTTGTCACATAAAATTAAATTTAGTACCTAATATATACCTATTATACATACAATAATTACATGTAAACTAAAATGTTAATTTTTCATAAATAGTAAAATGTATACAGGAATAATTACTTATAGGTTGTTTACTACCTACAGTACTAGAGCTTGACAAAACAAAAGTTTGATTTATGTGTTCTTAGTTCTTCCTAAATATAATACTTTAAAAACATTTATAATTACCCCGTGATGGTCACCACGATGAGGCGGTTCTCGCTAATCACCAAAAATAGCACCACTTATTGTTTTTATCTATTGATTTAATGTCGTTTTTTATGTTTGGTATTAATAATGTGATTTTTAATAAAATAAATATTTCACAATTAGTAATAGTTAATGATGGATAATAATTTTAGTTTTATCTTTTTTTTTTATTGCAGTTTCGGTGTTAATTTATCTGTTTTAAACATATACGTCTGTCGTATATATTATATATACATATTTTTTTTGTTATTTAATGTAGTAGGACTGTTTATTTATATATATATAGGTACTTTAGTTTGAAGTTTAGAACAATTGAAATTAACATTTTTAGTAAAATATTTATAAATCAGGATGTGATTTGTAGAACAGTTCGTTAAAATGGGCATRGAATCATTCACAATTATTAAGTTAGTGGTTAGGTACCTACGTACTATTTACCATGACAAATCAGATCTAATTTGTCATGCTATTTACATTATATTAAAATATCATAAAACAATTACTAGATACATTAAATAAAACCAAAATTATTATGATTAATGAATAATTATTATAAAATCTCAACAAAAAGTATATACACATTTTTAATTTTAATTTTCATCTCAGTATTATCATTTTGCTTATACTTAATTGTTTATACTAGCTGTGTAAAAATGCAAGTAATAGGCACCCTCAGCATTAGCTGATGGTATAGAATGACAAAAACTATAAATTAATTATTATTATTAATTATTTATTATCATTAATTAATCTAACGTAACCCAACCAAACTCAAAAGTATACCAAAATTCAACTTATTAAAAATGTATTGTAATTTCATAAATGGTAATTATTCATAACTATAAGTACTTTTTTTTAATTATTAATTTGTTATATATTATAATCATATATTACAATATACGAGCATTTGTTGGTATTATCTGATATTTTATGTAATTGGGCCTGGTGGTCCGTTGTAARCTTAAATAAATCAATAATTATACTAATTATAGGTTACTATTATAGTAACCATTATCAATAATTGTATAATATAATAATTAGAAACTTAAATTTTATAGCATGTAAAATATACTTATATAGTTGTACACATAATATACTTATAATCTACGCGTCTCATGTATTATGTAATGTAGTAATAATTATTATTATCACATCAATATTATACAGTTTAATATATTATAAAATCAACTCCCTTAAATTTAAAGAAATAATGAATCCCCTTATGTAATAATATAACTTCAACATTAAGAAAGAAATCATATTTGATGAAAAAAATAATAGCAAGCCACTTTTAAACTTTTATTCATATTTTAATTTTTTTAAATAAAAGTTGTTAGCAAATTAAAGATATATAATTTATAATTTTATATCTTATATAGCCTTTCCGTTGTAAGACAWTTTTTCAAATATTTTATACCGAAAATTTCAACGTATCTATGAATAGACCAACAAGTCTGGACCGGATATTATATTTCTAATGTATTATATATACTATATATATTTCTAATTGTTTTTAGTTTAGGTAGGTAGGTTGCACACAAATTACAACTGAAAACATTTCTTAATTTTCTTGAAGTGTCAGGGATGGCTGCCACTCTTTCATTCTTTTTGGCTATGTCACTAATTAAATGGACACATAAAACGATAAAATAAGCAAGTACTGATATTATAATAAACCTGAAATAAAATCCGATTTTCAAACAATTCCTCTTTTTGTTATCTTTCACCCAGATCGTGATCCTTGTACGCACGCAACAGTGATGATTATCATTTCATGTTATAAATGGGTTATTTACTGACAAATGAAATAACAAAATCAAGGAGAAATGCTGATAATAATATTCAAACGAAGGTCTGCAGCTATCTGAACAATAATAAGCTACTTATCATTTCGTTATTATTTTAAATAACGCCTATATAGTTCCATTGGCGATGGTTTGACATTTTTTACATAGATATAATAATGTATTGCACTCGATTATTTTTATATATTAAATAACATAATACCTAAATAATTTAGGTAACATAATTATTATGTTTGACATTCCGTGCGATGTTTCAACAAATGAATGTTGCACGTCATACTCTCCTTATCACAAATATCCCACAAGGCCGTTTGGTACTTATGTATAAAGTGTAAAGAAATATCTGTATTATAAATTATTATAACATAAATTAAATATAATATAAATGTATATTATACATTTGAAAGATTATTTTGTATTTGTTCGCCAATATTATAATAGGTATATCTAAAGTTACGTCATGCTATCGAGCTAGATGTATGCAAACAGATACTACAAAATATATTATATGAAGAACGCTGTGAATGG